ACATTTCCATTTTTGGAGTTAGAGAAGGATCTACAAGGACAATGAAAAGTTGTGGGACTAGGTGTCTTGCACTATATTAACGGGGTAATTTACATATGTTTGGCTTTGGTTTTTAAAAATTATTCATTTTAACGGGTTTTTCGGATTAACGGGGTTCAGATTAGCGGGGTTGCATATGTAAATACTATTATATCACTAATATTCTTTCTATTATAATAATATATCAAGTAATATGAATACCAACTGTGTCAATATTATCTAAAGAATATTTATGCATTGCAGTAACTTTTACTCCAAATGAGCGTCTACAGACAAACCTTATCACAGCGGACTATAATTAAATTCTTGTCATAACGGATTTTTAAAATTTTTGCTTCACATTCACATTAAAATATAAACATAAAAATCCATTCTGGCAAGATCAGTAAATCTTGCCACAACGGGTTTTAAATAAATCTTCATTCATCCGCTGTGGAAACACAATGACACCCGAACAAATAAAATCCAGTCTGTTGTTATCAATGAATATTCGGTCCGATTATCCATGTGTTGAGCTTTATTGATTGACCAAGTGCTCAAACACCCGAATAATCAACAGATACAACCACTACTATTCGTAATACAAACTTTGTTCAAATTATCCAAATCATTCGTTTATTCGAGTTGTTGTCATTCGTTTATTCAAGTTGTTATCATTCGTTTATTAATTCAATTATCTATTATTCGAATTGTTATCATTCATTTATTTGAATCATTCGTTTATTCAAATCGATATCATTCATTTATTCAAACTATTCGTTTTATTTTAAATTATTGTTTTATTTCAAATTGATATCATTCGTTTATTTTTGTTATCATTCGTTTTGTTTTTGTTATCGTTCGTTTTATTTCGAATTGTTATCATTCGTTTTATTTCGAATTGTTATCGTTTTATTTCAAATTATTCATTTTGTTTCGAATTGTTATCATATCATTCGTTTTATTTCAAATTATTCATTTTGTTCCGAATTATTCGTTTATTTCAAATTGTTATTATTCGTTTATTCGAATTATTCATTTTATTTCGAACTATATGTTTACTCGTTTATTATTATTCGAACTATTCATTTTATTTCTTTTATTCGTTTTTTCAAACTATTCGTTTATTCGTTTTTTGAAATACTCGAATTATTCATTTATTTGTTTTATTCGAACTATTTGAATCATTTCATTTATTCTAATTATTTCGATATTCGTTTTATTCACTTTATTTCGTTGTTCGCTTTATTTGAACTATTTGTTTATTATTCGTTTTGTTTAAAATATTTGAATTATTTGTTTTACTCTAATTATTCATTTATTTGTTTTGTTCAAATTATTTCGTTTATTCGAACTATTCATTTTATTCGAATTGTTCGTTTATTTGTTTTATTTAAATTATTGATTGAATTATTTGTTTATTCGTTTTATTCGAATTACTCGTTTTCGAATAGAAACCCGTATTAGTATTAGTATAGTTGTATGTAGTGATTTTAATTTAGTTTCACCAGATTTGGTGACTCCAATAACTCAGATCGCACACTTGCAATATTTATTACAGTTTTACGGGTTATGGCTTTAACGATTTAGGATGCATGTCGAATTATTTATGTAATGCTGAATTGTTGTAATTCAGGTAAAATTTATTTTTTTTAACGAAATGTAATAATTAATAATAATATTTTGTGATGAAAAAAAAAAATTTTTTTTTGACAAATTATACAAGTTATACAATATAATAAAAAACCACAATGGAAAACACTTTGGATGAAGATAAACATCATGACGATACTTCTACTGATAAAAACGATGAATATTTAAAAAAAAGAAAAGAAGGATATGGGGAATGTCCAACTTGCAATAGATATAATACTGATTATTTATGGTGCCAATCATGTGATCCAAAGCTATTAACTGAAGGATGGACTAGTGGCAATGAAGCATTAGATGAGTTGATTAAAAGTACACAACTTAAAGCAACAAGATATGATAATTATTATTATTCTCAATGGATTCCTCATAATGATTTAACAAATATTGAAAAGATAGGTGAAGGTGGGTTTGCAACTATATACAAAGCTACTTGGTTAAATGGTGTGAAAGATACTGATGGAGATAAAAGAACTAATGGAGATCGGACTGTGGCATTAAAAAAACTACATGATTCACAGAATATTTCTGATGAATTTCTTAATGAGGTAAATTTCTATTTATTTTCAGATTAGATATTATTTATTGATTATTATTGTTGTAATTAAATATTTTATTTATTATTTAGTTCAAAAATTATATGAAGTTTCATAATGGAAGTGATATAATTCATATTTATGGATTAACACAAGATCCCATTACAAAAGAATATATATTTGTGATGAATTATATGAAAGATGGAAGTCTTCAAAATTATTTAACAAAAGATTTTAAAAATTTAAAATGGAAAGACAAAATTGGTATTCTTTATTATATTATTAGTGGCTTAAAAGATATTCATAAAAAAGAAATCATTCATCATGATTTTCATAGTGGTAATATTCTTCAAGATGAAATATATGCATATATTGCAGACTTAGGATTATCATGCTCAGCTAGTCAAACATTATCATCAAACAAAAATGGTATATTTGGAGTACTACCATATATTGCACCAGAAGTTTTAAAAGAGAAACCATATACAAAAGCATCAGATGTATATAGTTTTGGAATTCTGATGTCTGTAGTATCAACTGGTCAACAACCATTTAATAATTTGGCACATGATGCAAATCTTGCAGTAAATATATGTAAAGGTGCAAGACCTGGATTCTCAAACAACACACCAAGATCCTATATCGAACTAGCATTCAAATGCATGGATGCTAATCCAGATAAACATCCAACTGCTAAAAAAATTTATGAGATTATTGATTTTTGGGATGCTTCACTTCAACCTTCTACGTCAGGTGATGAATATAAATCAATTGAAAAAGAGTTTGAGAAAATGGATGAAATAGAATTTGATCCTTCAACAATTACCACAGTAATTCATCCAAATGCAGTTTATACTAGCAGGTTCTTAAAATTTACAAACCTTCCCCAACCTGTGAATTCCAATAAAGTAACAATTATTGGTAATAATATTGGTAATTATTAATATTCAATCATTGACTATTTTCATTTTCATTTTCATTTTTATTAATTTTAAAATTAACTCTTGTGATAAATATTTTGTAGATTCTAAACAAATTGATTTAGCTATACCAGATGACTTACCTGAATAAGTTAAATCCTGTCACTTTATTACATATCAATTATTTATTATTTATTTTTATTTTTATCTAGCTACTATTAAATATCTTCAGAATAATAAACAGATTGATTTAGCTATACCAGATGACTTACCTGAATAAAGTTAAACCCTGTCACTTTATTACATTTTAAATTATCTATTATTTATTTTTATTTATCTGGCTACTACAGTTGTGATATTAAATATTTTGAGATAACTTCTTTTGACTTTTTTTTATTTTGAAATTTGGATGTCAAATATGCACACTAAATAAAAATAATGATTTTTGACAAAAAAGCAAATGTATTTTTAATAATAATTGTTACCATTATTGTTTGTTTCTTACTTTTTCAAATCAATGTTTTCATTTTTTTATAGTATGGTGCCAATCATCTAAAGACATCAAAATTTTTGGCTAGACTTTAAAATGTATAAGCTCAATGACCATGCAAGATAAAAAAAAACTCTGTATATCACACACTTGCAATACAAATCTCTCAACCTGTATTTTTAAAATTATGTGATATTAAAATAAATATGTTAAAACCTTACAAAACATCTAAGAACAAATGGCTTAGAAGATGGTAATATGAAAAAATTCCTGAACTTAAGTCATGGCAATTTCATAAAATTCATTAAACCATGATTAGTAATTTTAGTATTATGCAATTTCTTGTGCATATATTCCAGAACCTAAAAAG